GTGTGTGTGTGTGTGTGTGTGTGTGTGTGTGTGTGTGGCTCAGCAGCTAATTTGCAGTCAGGACGTCAGTGTCTCTTACGTCTGTACTTGCACTAACATCCGTCCTATAAAAACCGCTGTCATTCATCCAGGAAGCCACTTGTAATCAAAAGATAAAAACTTTTATACCAAACTTTTAACAAAGATCATTTTATGTTGACAGAATTACAGCCATTTAGGTGAAACCTTGAAAATTACATTCCCACACAGCACCCTCTAACACTCGGCCCAGATACCACAAACAATGARGACCCTTCGGTCGCCCAGATGTGATTTGCCAGAGGTGGTCCATGCATGAACCAGCACCACATAAACCAAACCACAACCGAGACCTGGCCTACATCTAGTTGACAAAACCACTCTCCATACCAGCAGCACCAGTTTGACCCCAGATCTGAACCACACCTGTCTGCTTTGTGGGATTAAGCACAATCTGATGTGTTGTTTGGTGTTGCATGATCTGTCAGCACTCAGGTTATGTTTTGTGAACGACTCTCAGCTACTTCCACAATTAATGTTGGCTCAGTATTTATGAAATTCACAGAGGTGCAGCCATTTTTGTCTAAAGAAAATAAGTAAAATTTTATTTAGAAATAAATTTCTTAGAAATAGAAATAAATTCACAAGGTGCTGTATAATCATCAACAGAATAAGAAAAAGAAAAACACAAATATGAAAAGGAAATCCAAAAAACAACAGTTGCTTTTCAGCTGTGGCAGCCATCTCGAAACAAGTTGACTCCAAACGTTAAGACTTACATTCATTGATTACTTTGAGAGTTTGAATTTAGACCATTTCCATTAAACCCCACGTCAAAGGATCTGAACTGTCTTTAATTTTCCACACGTGTCTGTTTTTATGTCTCTTCAGGGGAACGGAGGGACAGGACCAGTGTCTGCAGATGAAGGTGTTGAGGACGTAGCGGGTGGTACTTACGTTCGATTTGATGCTCCTAAAGCTAAGATAAGGAAGAGCTGGCCTGGTGTCCGCGGTACTTCTTGTTTTTCATCTTCTCTCCTCTCTGATCAATTACRCTCTGACTCCAGCAGATAAATGAGAAATTTAAATGCTTTTCTTGGTATTGACTGTTGAGAGTCTTCCAAACAGCCCAYCTCACTGAGGTGAGTCATTAGGTTTTTGCTCACTGAAACGAGTGTTTGTGTTTTTCTCCAACCAGACATGATCCTACATCGTTACGTGGTGTCCCGTGTGATCTGGGCCTACATGCTGTCCATAGCTGTGACCTACAGCATCACTCTGTGCCTCTTCCCCGGGCTGGAGTCAGAAATACGAAACCACACCCTGGGGGAGTGGCTCCCCATCCTCATCATGGCCACCTTCAACATGTCCGACTTTGTTGGCAAGGTCAGCAGAACTTGTTTTGAAGTGTATCTATGACAAAACATCAGCTCGTGGCAAGAATCAAACTTTTTTTTAATTCAGCTGATGTGAAACTAGAAAAACATAGATTTTCATAATTTCCAATCAATAAATGTTCCATATAGGGTTGTAGCCAGAAAATAATTTACAGGTGGGAATGACTGAAAGGTACAGGGCCACATCCGAACTTAAACAATTTGTCGTATAAGATGTAACTTTTTCTTGGCAGGCAGACTGCAGATAAGGCAGATATTCATGCAGATGATGATGGCTGCAGTCAGGGGCGGAGCCAGGGGGTGGCCATGGCCACCACAGACAAATCTTTGGCCACCACAGACAAATCTTTGGCCACCACAGGCAAATCTTTGGCCACCCTGCTGTACACACTCCTTCTACAGTGAAACAAGCTTTAGGGGTGTAATAATCCTCCTGAACAGTTGGTGGCAGTGTTTAACAGTTTGAAACATCACCAAGCTCAAAGAACTGACAAAGAAGTGATTTTTTTCTTTATATATAGAAAATATGCCTATGTAATCTGATTTATGGTGACAGATTATTTTTCACCATAACACAGTGTCATTTTCTGTTCTGAAGGCTGCATGATGCTCTGTCCCTTTTGGTTATGAGTAGACTTATCACTAAATCAGAAAAAGTGAAACGCCCCTTTAAATTCACTGTGTAGTTATCAGTATTGTACCTGTTCATTGGGTAAAATTATCAATATTAGTTTTAAACATGCAGTTGAAGGTCATCATTATTTGGCACAATGATGTGTTAAAATTAAAAATAAATCAATAAACAATATAAAAGTGAAAAGCACCCCTAAAGTCATTTGATAAGATAAATTGTGACACATTAATTAACCTTATCTCAGCTGTAGCAGTGAGTTTAAAAACAGGATAATGAAACTAGTTTAATGAAGAATTTGTCTCTGAAATAATTATTAAATCAAGTGTTTATTTGTGGAGGTAAAATTATGTTTAATAACTTGGTAAAATACTCCAGAATGCAGGAAATGGCATCTATTTTACGGCAGCACYWCGGRTCAGTGGTTAGCACCGACYCCRCACAGCAAGAAGGTCCTYGGTTCGATCCCCGGTTCGGACCTGGGGTCTTTCTGTGCGGAGTTTGCATGTTCTCCTCATGCTTGTGTGGGTTTTCTCCGGGTACTCCAGTTTCCCCCACAAAAACATGTACAATAGGTTGCCTTCAGGCCCAGGCCGCCCTTGAAAAAGAGATCTGAGATCTCAATGGGACTTGCCTGGTAAAATAACAGTGAATAAAAACAAACAAAAAAAATTTGTTCAAAATTTTCTTGGGGAGGATCCCCAGACCCCCCAACAGTTTGCCCCACCCCACCTTTAAAATGGTCCTGACACCCATGTTTCACCCAGGTAGTCACTACCTGTATAAGGACATAAGGAAATGACAAAAACACAAAGATCTCCAGAAAATTTCAAGTAAAAAAATGATGTAATTTTCCTGGCCACCCGTGTGAGTAGTGGTCCCAGTCTGGCCACCCCTGAGAAAAATGTCTGGCTCCGCCACTGGCTGCAGTGAAATGCTTAAACAAACTGAACAAGAACTCGTATAAAGTCATATAAGTGATTTAAAAAAAATCATTTTGTTGTTTCCCAGTGAATAAAACATGGTGTGCCATTACATCWTGTCTCAAATATGAAAGCAGAGCACCACCTACTGGGTTACTATAGAAATCAAAAGTGGACAGATAGAGGGAAAAATGCCTTATCTTATGATATGATAAATACAGTACAATATCAAAATGCATTTATAATGGGTTTGAATGAGTCCGTTTTTTGTAAAATGTCTGGGAGTTTACAGCAACACAGAACATTTTCAATTTGGTTAAAATGATTTTTTWAAAGGCTTTTAGGATTTTTGTGGATTGCTCTTGTGTCAACAACACCCAAACATTTCAAGTGAGCAAGTATGAAGGAATTATGTTCTTATTTTGTAAATGATATGAATTATAAAAWGTTTTAGTCTGGATTATGGTGGTTCTGAGACCCTCCATACTCACACCTAATATACTGTAACATCTGCAGTGTGGTAGATTTTACTGAGTGAAGAAAACTCAAAATTATTTTTATATATGTCAGGTATTTAAGTCAGATGAAGCACTAAATGAGTAACAGTGCTGCTAAATTTAACTTTACTCCTCAGAGGTACAGAGAGGGAAGTGATTATCTGACTAAAAATAACTTTATAACAATTAAAATGAAAACCAGACATGAAACAGTTGGTGCATTTTTACTAATGTGAGRGCACAATCAAGCACAAATAAGAACTTCTCCATCTGGTCCACAGTTGCTGAGATTAAATAACTAATTTTAAAAACAAGCATTTTATTGGAGACACTTTCTTTCTTGCTTGTTTTCTCCAAAGGTWTTTTGGAACTAAAATAGGTCTTAGTTTCTCTGCCAGGTTAGTGAGGCTGTGCTGGCAGGACCAGAACAAGGATAGACGCCTAAAAAAACTTTAAAAAAGCTTTTTTTAATCACAAGTTTGAGAAGAATTATTGCCAAAATATAACTGCAAACTTGTTTCATCAGAAAAGGAAGAAAAATAATATTAAAAGATTTTCAGCTGCCGATCAAAACTTAACAGAAACAACTTCTCACTCTTCTGTAGAGTAAAATACATCAACAGGTTTTACAAACCTTTACCAGTGGCTCAGACAAGAATGAATCATCATTTAAAAATAARAATTTCACAGTCTTCCTCACATCATCAGACCTGTGTTCAACCAGGCTGACAACTCGGTTCTGGTATTTTTTCACACATTTGAACAAAAAATGAATTATTAATGTTATTAGTAACACCTGTGCTTTCATTGCTTCAACTACACCTGAGTGTCAGTCAGCAAAATGAACCTAAAACACCCGTATGAGGAGACATTTCCTGTCCAACAAGTCTCCTGACCAACCTGCTGTCACACTGACTGAACAAACCAACACAAAGAGTTGTTGTTTTAATGTTTCTGTTTTAGTAAAATCTGGTTAAGTTGGGTTTTTATTCTGATAAATTTCATTTCAAATGGTCTGGAAAAGTGAGAAAATAATAGAAAATAGAAAATGATCAAGACAGCTTGAGTATTATTGTAATGTCTAGAGCTCATCAGGTGCCATGGTTTGAAATAAAAAGTGATTGGTTTAAGAAACAAAGATACAATATTATATCTTGGTGGGATGATTGAATTTTTTGCCCTTACGGCAGGGCCATATGTGCATTATGGTGGCCCTCAAAAGACCAGTTATTAAGTTTGACTTTTCATGTTTAACATTGACTAAACATGAAACCTTACTTGTCTCACTGACACGACTGAGCCCCGTTAACAAAAAAATACACAGAAACAACTGAGCTCTACGTGGTATTTCCTGCATTGAAACAGTGTTTTAACACATCCTCTTAAAATACTGCATGTATGACTGACTAAATGTGAAATAAATAACACAGAAATACTATTAAAAGTAAAAGTAAGATAGTCTTACTCACTGTTGAGTTGTAGTGAGTAGCTGCAGTCTTTCTGAATTCTCCCTCTTTGCAACAGGGAATGTCCACTGAAGGTGTGCTCCAGTTTAAATGTATGACTTGTAAGTGGGAAATTTCCACTTCCTATCACAACTGGCAACAGCAAAAGATTTTGCCAGCTGCCTGTTTATCATCAGTGCTGTCAGCAGCTTATTTAAAAAAAATTAACTACATCTTCAAAGCTCTTGTGGGCCACCTAAAATGCAGTGGCGGGCCACATTTAGCCCACAGGCCTTGAGMTTGACACATGCACCTTCAAGGCTCACTGTGTCTGAAAATAACATTGATATTTTGAATTATACAGAACTTAGAAGTTTATTAGACCCAATGATTACTTTCTCAGTTTTATTAGATTCTGTCCAGTGGTTTATCAGATATTTTGCTAACACAGAGTGAGTGAGTTGCAAATAATGAGAACGCCTCTCAGCACACGACCCCTTGACACCTGGCTCCACTGCAGGGGAGAAAAAAAACATTTGAACATTTCAGAAAAACTTTTTTTTTATGAATTCAGTATTTTTTTCATCCATTGTCCTGGCAGCCTCACTGATCCTCCCCCTCCCCCTGTCCTCAGATCCTGGCAGCGCTGCCATACGACTGGTCCGGAGGCCGCCTGCTCTTCTTCTCCTGCCTCAGGGTGGTCTTCATCCCTCTGTTCGTCATGTGCGTGTACCCGGCCAGCTCGCCCACGCTGTCCCATCCCGCCTGGCCCTGCTTCTTCTCCCTCCTCATGGGGGTCACCAATGGTTACTTTGGGTCGGTGCCAATGATCCAGGCCGCTGGCAAAGTCCCACCTGAGCAGAGGGAGCTGGCAGGTGAGACGTGGACTGAGCAGGCGGACAGTTTCCTGGAGTCTGGGTCTTTGTTCAGTCCGGTTGTTTAGATCTGTTCACTCAGCATCTTCATATCAAAGCTCCAGGTCCAGGCTGGTCCACAGAGGTTATAACATTTCTATAAAKCAATGTTTTAAAGGGAAAGRTCAGCTGTTTTAACGAGGAGTTCTGTTGTGAACTGGACTTGTTTTAATGAGGCAGTGACAGGTTTCAGTTTCGGCCTCTCTCAGACTGGCTGTTAGCTCGTCAGTCCGACCAGAACTAAATGTTTTATACAAACTGAGGTCTTTTGAAGAGTTATCTGCAACAGGTAAYATATTAATTGCTCATAACCTCCCTTCACAAACCAGATCCTCCAGGATTTGAATCTATAAAATCCTGACCTGACCCTTCATGATGTGGTCTCCTGCTCRTTCTGTCTGCAGGGAACACCATGACGGTGTCCTACATGACGGGTCTGATGATCGGCTCCACCGTGGCGTACGCAGCTTACAGCTTCACTGTTCCAGGAGGAGCAGGAGGAGCAGGAGGAGGAGTTCTCCATAAGCTCAACTCTACACGGTACTGAAGGTCCACATGAAGCCAAACAAAGACAGCAGAAACAAACTGATCTGAGTTCAGCTGCGGAGGATGAGAAGAAAGAAGGGAATAAAACTTCTGAACTCGTTTTCTTCAGCTTGGTGAGTTTTTTTTTCTTTTTGTGATGAAGATCCAAAGAGGAGCAGCCCCACATTTCCTCTCTGAGGGTCTCACGGTGAGAACCACTGCTTGCGTCAGAGCCAACAGGTCGTCTGAAGTCGAGTCATGTTTCACCGCAAGTTTCAAGACGTCCCTGAGTCACGAAGAGTCGATGGGTTCAAAAGCTCTTTTCACAGAGATTTTATCAGCTGGAAGTCATTAAAATCATTCCACCGGTTCATGCAGAAGGAGGGAGGATCAGAGAGTTAACGAGACTTTAAACCTTTAGAAATTAAATAATGGTTGTGTCTCAGTTCAGGGCCGTGGMCCGGTCCATTTCGTGGGTTCCTCCTCATGCAGCCTTTAAAACGCTGAAAACATAACTGCATCTGATTCATCCCAGCCAACAATATCCCAGGATTCATTGCACTGTCATCAGTTTTTACAGAAAAAAAAAAAAGACAGAGTTTGGAAAGTTTTTTGCGGACCAAAAAATTTGTTGTTTAGCGACTTAGCTGGAGAAATTTACGCTGTAATGTGATGGTAAACGACATTTAATTACAAGTACAAGTGGTGGGCAGCACTAATCTAAAAATTAGTTCCACTAGCCKTAAAGCACTAACTCAAATATTTAGGTCCCCTAATTCTAAAGCACTACCACACTAAAAATATTAGCAAAAGCTAATTCTAAAGCACTAATAACCCAGTCAACCCATGAACATTCTTCAACAGACAACATGKGTCACATATTGTCATGTTGCTCTCTTTAGATTTATCGTTGACATTCTACATCTGTATTTGGGTTCAWATGTTGTCACCTGGGGGATAAGTGACACATATGAACAAAATGTGTGACAGATRTCACCCTCAGCTGTTAACACTAAAGTTGATCAATAACATTTATAGACCTCAGTTAGTGCTTCTAAATTTAGCCTATAAATTTAGCAAGTGCCAATAAATTTTTAAATTAGCAAAAGCCCTAAAGCACTAATCGGGAAATTTGTTCCCCTGTTAGTGCTTTGGTGCTTTAGGGGAACTGTGCTCACCACTGTACAATGCACATTTTGATCAGACCCTTGTGAGCATGAAGAGTGACAACCACAGGAGTTAAAACACAATGTGATATATTAAAAACCTAAACAGCAGCTGGAGCCACATTAAATCTGAGCTTCACAATAATATTATAAAGTCAATGGGCCTCATGCAAGAACATGTTCGTATTCTTATCCTAAATTTCTCTTACTTTTGTTCGTATGATGGG